CGAAATTCAAAAACAAACAAATACACATGAACACATATTAATTAATATCTGGCATGAGAACGTTCGAGTGACATCTGGCGTTGTAAGTTGTACTTACTGCAATTTATAGAAACTATGAATAGGTGACTTAAACTAGGATAATACCTTCTACTCTAGACGGCTCGAAGCTCGTGACGATTTGTATTAGAAGAAACACCTATTTATTTAATTTGATTCATTCTCATATTTTGGATATCTGTAAGTCTAGTGTTTAGTGAGTTTGTTCTCGCTGAGTCGAGGCATTTTTAACACAAATAAACACGCGATAAGCACTTTTATTGTTGTTAGCAATTCTAATTTAGTTTATCACTTACTACCAAAACATCAAGTTGTCATAACGTCAATTTTAATCTTAGTAATTTTAAACTATTGGATTTAATACAAAGTTGAAAAAAATCTTCTATGATGAAGATTCAAGCTATGTTAAGGAAATATCTTAATAGAAAAAAAAAATAACACAATGATGTCTCTAATGGTTTGTGAATGAAAATTAGGTCAAGCTGCCTTCTCGTATTATAATAAAAACTTATTTCCTGATCAAGTGCTGTAACGTAAAACAGCAAAATATGTTTTTCACGTCCAACAAGTTTGCCCCCCCCCCCAGTGGCACAGCGGTATGTCTGCGGACTTACAACGCTAGAAACCGAGTTTCGATACCCGTGGTGGGCAGAGCTTAGATAGCTCAGAGTTTTACTATATTTTTATAGAAAGGAACTACCTAGTAATAGATAATGTAACGTAAACGTTGGAATATAAAAAAATATACATTCAATTTAGTTAACCCTGCGTTAGTCTTCCGGGGTCTTCATGGACCCAATATTTTGTAAACATCAACGCCGACAGATGGCAGCACGTACATGTTTGTTGTTCTCAGTAGCTTCAGTATTCGGCTAGTTTGTGTTAAATTATTACACTTAGTTTAGGTGGTAAAAGAGAAACACGTTGTAATATTCAATGCTCATTTATTGATTAACAAAGGAAAATATTTTGAGTGTTAGTGTTTTTTTGTTTCCAAATTAATAGTTTATTATTACTTAAATATTTTAAAATTACTTTTTTTTTTGATGAGTTGGTGCCCTCGGACTTCGGATAAGTGACTATAGAAATGTTTACAGAATGATAATAAAAGGTTAATAATAACTTTTGACTAGAGCAAGCTACCTACTTAGAGTGAAACTGAAATTCAACCTGGTGTCGGTAAGGTCATATAAACTTAAATACTTTTCTTACGTTTCATCAGTTGGGGTACCTCCGATGTTAAGGATATTTTCGGCTGTAATCCCAATAATATCTCACGAGGTGTAAAATTTTATTCAGTTTAATAAGAAATAAAACATTGCTATGATTATTTCCCAACTCTATCTCTGGGCCTGTATTAATTACCTTGAAGACAACTACTTTCGTACAATTTAACATTTTTAAAATGTTCAAACCGTGCTTGCATATCCGGATCATGAGCTCCCTTTTTGTTTATTATTTCATCTGTGGTCACATAAGTCACGTGACAATCAGCAATGTTTTGCTATAGTATCAAGAATTAATTTTATTATTTGTCACTCAGGCATAAACAAATCATGAAAGTATTTATATTTGTTGTTGTTGCTTTTCTAACGATAAAACAAAAACCTTCAACCTCCTCTTGCCTATCAACGTAAGGAACAATGACTGATAACAAAGTATCAGTAGATTTCTATATAACGTCTCGTTTCGGACAATAGGCATTGTTATCCAAGCTAGTTACAAGGCATCTATCTAATCAACGACCAACATCGGTCTGGACAAAAACAACAACTACATAAATTACTATATGAAGTAATGAAGTAATTCGAAGAGCTGAAATTAGGTGTACTTTTACTAGGAAAATTATCGGAGAATCACCTCACTGTCCAAGATCGTGAGATATAACGCATTTCTTCAACAACCACAAAACTGAGACTCTAGAGGCCAGCATAACTGGGTATCTTGTATAATTTCTAAACCTTGACTTCAGTATAAACACGATGCTTATAGTCACTTATTAATTTCCATTTTCAAAGCCTTGAGTTACAACATCACCTGACTTGTGGTCAGTTAGTAGATATAATGGTCACTAATATATCAGCGTCTCTGTGGGGTCATTTTATTCTTTAAATATATAAAAAAGCAATCTATATTAAAATCAGGAAGTGTATGTATTAGTAATTAATTATAATATATATATATCAGTATTAGCTGGGTGTTATATAAACCTAGATACATCTCGCTTAATGAAATATCACTACAAGAAACTGGGTTAAACGTTTATCGGAAACAGTTCTCGGATTGTAACTACTTAATAAGGGGAATTAATTCTATAAACAGAACAAAATAAGTTGACAGGGACGTCCCCCTTCGTTTCTACTACGGACTATAAGAAGTTGGCAGGGACGTCCCCCTTCGTTTCTATTACGGACTATAAGAAGTTGAC